GTTATTTGTCACGTCTGGGTGAACAAGCACCTTAGAAGAAGGTCTAAAATCCAAACAAACAAACAAAAGTCTTGAAAGAAATTAGTATCTCAGTAACACATCTATTAATATACAAGTTTATAAAAAGGTCTCGTCTTTTTATAATGTGAAGCCCAGATATTGGGATCTGAACGCTATCTCGGAGACCTTTTTGGCAGCTGGGAGGGGGAGAACAGCTTGGCCTCCCAGTAAACATTTCCAAGGTGTTTCCTGAAGATCGCATCATGGAAGCCCAGCCAAGCCCAGCTTGCAAACGGGCTGCACCGGGGCTTCCCGCCAGCCCGGGAGGTGATGTTGCAAGAGGAATAGGGCTGTCAGCAAGCCCTTAGGAACCCCCGGCCAGGGCAGCGTGCCCATGGGATCGGATACAGGGTGCGAGCACAGCCACTGGGGATGGGGGCTTGCACCGGGTGCCTTGGGGATGCGGGGCGTTGGCAGGGCTGGGCTGTGCAGGGGGAGATGCCCTGTCTGAAGGTGCTGTTAGCTTCAGGGAAGCAATGCGTTTTGGGGCACGGATGTGGATCTCAGCAGTTTTCACTACTGCTGTTCCAGGTCCTGAGATGCACAGGGAGCTGCGTGCAAGGTGGGGGGCACTGCGCAAGCAGGAGTTTTAGTGACTCTGCTTAGGGTCCTCCTGCTGCCAGGCAGCTTAGGGGCTCGCTGGGAGACTTGGGGCTCTGGAAATGGGCCCCAGGTGAGGTAGACCTCCTTTGGCACCTCCTGAATCCTTCCAGTGTGGGGAGGATTTTCCATTCCTGCAATGGCTGCCCCATTTGCTCTTATCCACATGGCTTCCTACCTTTTTTTTTTTTTTTCTCCATCACTACAACTGGCAGATGTGGATTTAGTGCTTGTGTACTTTGCCTGTGTGCGCATCTGTGACATCCCCTTGGGCTGGGGGAACAATGTGCTCCTCAGGACCGGCTGGGCACATCTCCCATCCCGATGGACCAGTGCGGTTGTGCCTCTTGTGCTGTGCTGGCCAACAACTGGACTTTCCTGCTGTGTGTTGTTGCTGTGGGTTTCATTTCATTGTCCTCTGGTGGTTTTTTCTTGTGAATGGACTGCCATGTTAATGAAATCCCTCTGGGTGTTTTTCTGTAATAAACTGTGTTGGTCCCAGCCCGGCTCTCTGTGTTGCCATTCTCACAATGGGTATTTTGGCTCCCTGGTGCAGCCAGCAAGAGAGTCTGGGGTCCCTGCTTGGGACCTCCCAGGTTTTATGGTGAAGGGGTTGGGGTGATGAGAAGGAAAAGGGCTTTCTTGGATTTAAGGGAATTCAGACAATGTAATAAAAGCAGCTACCTGGGAACTGGAGATGTCTGGGAGAGGTGCGATTCCAGAGTTGAGAGATGTGCTGTGATACAGCTGCCTCCCCCTGCTTCGTGAACAGGCTTTTATTGTAACCTGGACTCGTGATGAAGTCCTGGATAAAAATACAATTTGGCAGAAGACTTCTGTCAACTTGATCTTTTCCCAGCCAACAGGTGGGAGGCAGCAAAAGCTTTTTAGAGGAGATTTATTGCTGCTGAAGTACCGGGTTTATCCGAATAGCGACACTGCAGTTCTGGTGTTAGCTCCTCCCTGCCAGTAAAGAGAACAGATGGGTTAAGGGGAAGCAAATTCTCCATCCGTCACCAAATACGGCCAAGGACTGTTCATAGGCCCCAGGGCAGCATCTCTGCTATGGCTGTTCGTCTAAGGGATGGATGGCCCTTGGTGGAGAGCGTTCTTGTGCAGCCTTGTTTGCTGGGACGCCTTCCCCATGCCCATCCCCAATCCTGGATGTTCTTCCACCAGATCCCTCGGTGTTCCTCAGTGGTTGGTATTGGGGCCAGCGCTGCTTAACATCTTTATCGGTGATACGGATAGTGGGATTGAGTGCACCCTCAGCAAGTTTGCCGATGATACCAAGCTGTGTGGTCGACACACTGGAAGGAAGAGATGCTGTCCAGAGGGACCTGGACAGGCTGGAGAGGTGGGACCATGCGAACCGCATGAAGTTCAACAAGGGCAATTATTGCGTCCAGCTATGGGGTCCCCAGGACAAGGAGCTGTTGGAGTGAGTCCAGAGGAGGCCACGAAGATGATCCGAGGGCTGGAGCACCTCTGATATGGAGGCAGGCTGAGAGAGTTGGGGTTGTTCAGCCTGGAGAAGAGAAGGGTGCGGGGAGACCTTAGAGCACCTTCCAGTACCTAAAGAGGCTCCAGGAAAGCTGGAGAGGGATTGTTTACAAGGGCATGGAGTGACAGGACAAGGGGTAATTCAGCCTTAAGCCGAAGGAGCGGAGATTTAGATTAGATATAAGAAAGAAATCCTTCCCTGTGAGGGTGCTGAGGCCCTGGCACAGGTTGCCCAGAGAAGCTGTGGCTGCCCCTGGCTCCCTGGCAGTGTTCAAGGCCAGGCTGGATGGGGCTTTGGGCAACCTGGGCTAGTGGAGGGTGTCCCTGCCCATGGCAGGGGTTTGGAACTAGATGGGCTTTAAGGTTCCTTCCAACCCAAAGTGTTCTGTGATTCTATGGAAAAAATCAAATTCCAGCACCGATAAGGCCTGTGCCGCACCAGTGAAGGTCCAGGTGGGCCCACCCAGCTGTGAGAGGTCTGAATGTCTACACCAAGTCTTCACACAAAGACCACTACAGCCCTTGACTCGCTATTGGTGACCAGCGTTAGCAGTGGGGCCAAGGAGTCAACGGGTCATGGAGACACATGGGCCAAGGCTATGCAGGGAGGGAAGGGGGAGGTTTGTGCAGTTGGATCTGTGATGTCTTGTTGTTGGTTTGCTGCAAGCCTGAGGTTTTGTTTCTGTTGCCTGTTTTCTGAGCTTTTTCCCTCTATCAGGCATCAAAGGGCTTTGCAATGAGTGTGCTTTAAAATAAAGAACATAAAGGAGGAGAAAGCAGAGGCAGAGCTGATGGAGAATTATGCTGCCACTCAGCTATTGTCAGCACAGATGTTCACAAGGTAATCATGGCCTTTGAACAGCAAGAACCGCTTTTCATGACAAATCCAGGATTTAACCCCAAGAACTTGTGCGGCCTCTTGGTGAGGGTGTGATGCTCCTGATGACCAGCTGCATGGCAGGGAGGTCGAGCAGAGCATGGGCGCCGAAAAAAGTCATGACACCTCCCTGCCTCAGTTTCCCCATCACCATAACAGAGATCAGAATGATCCAGAGGTAATGTCAGGTCTGGACGGTGACTCCAGCTCCTTGCAGAAGATGAGCAGAAATCCAGGAGTGCTCTCAAGTGCAGCAAAACCCTGTACCTCTGTGGTGATGCCTGCATGCCCAGCAGCAGGGCCCAGTGTGTAGGGGCCATGCAAACACAAAGCTGTCCCGACAACCCTGTGGTGTTGGCCATGAGGAGTCTCAGGGGACTCCACCCTGTCCCTGCAGCGCATTTCATTTTACGTCCTTTCTGGAGTGCAGAATAGGAGCCAACGAATGTGAGCAGGGACCTGCAGCCATCCCAGGAGGCTAAAATGTCAGGGCAGGGGACCTGGTGACAGGGTGACAGAAACACCCGGAGTTGGAAGAATAGATAAGAAGACCTGGCGGCAAGAGAACAAGCAAAGGGCACTTGCTATCAGCACTACTGGGGCCGTGCCAGGATTTGGACAGCCTGACCATCTCGTTCCTTCGACACCACTATTTATAGCAGCGTTCGCTGATGCCTCTGTCAC